TTGGCAATGCATAGAGTACGTCATGCAGTCTAAGTAAAAAGCCAAAAGAGAAAAATATGGGAGAAAAACATGAAGTTACTAAATTTTCAGAAATAAATACTCCCCTCCATTGCATCATATAGTAATCCTGAAAAGTTTAATTACATGGAGTTTAACTTAATCTCAAATGATGCCTACAAATTATGTTATTTCATCCTGCAGACTCTGGTTGAATTGTAAAGTGCCTTGAGATGACATGTGTTGTGTATTGGTACTATATAAATAAACTGAATTGAATTGAATTTATAATGTAATTGCAGTGAACCCTCATAGTCTATTTGGTAGAACCAAACTTTTCAGTTTATGACTGAAATATTACCGGTTGTAAATGCAATCAGCTATGGTAGGTTAAATCCCATAATAAATGTAATACACAGTAGTTTGAATGTTGTGTATTTTGTCAATATGGGCCTTATGTTTAGCTTTCCACCAGCATTCTATTCAATGTCTACAAACCAGTTTTATAGCTTTTATGCAGTATTATATCATTTTGCATTTATGGGCATAAAAACAAATATAACCCAGATCTACTCTGCGTCTGAAGAGCAGATCTACCCAGAGCTGAACCAGAAGCAACACTTAAGAGATTATGGCTGATTTTGTGATCTCTGGTTTTTGTAAATCTTTTACTTACATAAACTGGTTTTAGACTAGTGCATTTATTTATTTAATTAATTTTGGTCCCTTGAGAATAAGTGAAATGAACAAAAATGGATATCGTAATTTAGTTGAGATGTATGACGATGAAATGTATGTTGCAATGAATTTGTTCCTCCCTATTCTAACAATCAACTTACTATTCCAACCGCATTATAAGAAAATCTCTTTGTAGCCCATCTTCCTTAAAATCTAACAGTAAACTGAATTTTTAACCATTTAACTTCCAAAACTAAGGTACAGTTTGGTTGCTTCCCTTTGACCGTTAATCTGACCTAACAATTGCTAAACTGTGACAAGATCCTGAAATTGCTTACTTGTGTGATGGTGCACATGCAGTAATTTGCATAAAGTATTGGCTCACACCAACAAATCAATGAATTTGGATTTTCCAACAGTTAAACACTAGACGGGGAATCAGGGATGACCAAAAGTTTTATGCATTGCAATACAATTGGTAAATTCTGTGTATTTTGTTGTATATTAAACAACATGTAATTGTTTTGTTTTTTCAGAATAAGGTTAGTAATGTTGGATGTATGTTTGTTCATTAGGGTGGGAATCACTTTGACCAGTATGAAGAAGGCCAGTTGGAGCTGGAGCAGGCGTCCTTGGACAAGCCTATCGAATCGGTAAGGTTGCATCCATCGTCCCTCACCATTGGACCAGCTGTGAGAGTGGATATGATTGGTCCAGGGAGGAATAAGAGCCATGTCTTTACTTCATTTTGTCCATGTAGAAGCATCTAGTGTTTCCTTGAACACTCTTGCCACCTAACCTGTAGAATCACTACCCGTCAGTGTCCATAATTCCCTTTAATTCACTCCCACTTCTCATATCCCTGACCTATTTCATTTCTTCTGTGACATATAAGAACATGATTTAGACTCTAGATCTTCCTGTTATTTGTACAGCTCCCAGATAATCATTAGTAATTTTTAAATTTTTTTTGTAACAGTCTCACATTAGTCATTGTTAGTCATCTTAGCAGACTGAGATAAACCTATAAGCATAAAGTGGATGAAGCACTGTCGGATCAGCTGTTGTCTTAATACCATAGCTGTTTACAAGTTTAAAACCGAAAAAGCCATAACCATAAATTAAGCAATCTTACATTTTAGTTTGATTACATTTATGCAAAAAAGATATACATCAGATTTCGTTTTGCATTAGGTTGAATTGATTTTATGGATAAAACAAGGCAGTGCTTATTCCATTTACTTTGTAAAGAAGAGCGTGGTCATTAGCTGGTGTGAATGATTACATTTGTGTTTGACTGAGTGTTTGTTTATGTAGCTTTTAGAATGTATGTGTTAGTGTATAGTATTTGTATTTATAGGACAGTTATCTTATTGTACACAACTTGGGGTGTTCGACATTTCTCTCCTGCAGCGAATTGGCCCCCTATTAGCTAAGCAGCAATGACCCGGTTTGTATTTGCACGCTCTGCTTCCTTACTCCTTATCTTTAGGGTCCTTTGTAACGCTACTCTGTCCTTCTTTCTCACTTTACTCTTTCTGTTTCACGACTTTCACACCTGACATCTTATTCTCTCCTTCTACCTTCCCTTCTCTCTCTTGCTCCTTCCCTTCTACACAGTGATTCGGTGTACAGTACCCTCTGTCATTCTGTGCTGGCATGGTGCTTGTGCAACTGGGACTGCATTTTTCGCTGAAGAGGCACATTGATAATAGCGCAGGCAGCTCTCTTTTTCTGTCTTCCTCACTTTCTTCACCCTCCTTTTGCTCTCTGATGCATTTTGGTAAGCAGGCCTAAACTCTTTTGTCCTATAAAGCATCAGGAAACCTTTCCTTGACATTATTCATGCAGTTCGTGAACCAGTCCAATAGCACTAAACGTGCTTGATGTCAATCTGAAATGTTCAGAATGACAAAGTTGTTTAATTTTTTGGATTTTTTGTTAAATACCATTTAAAAAGTTTAGTATGGGTGTTAAAATAAGCCATGGTGTTCAGGTAGAACTGAGCAAGCGTCTTCGTATAGTTTCTACTTAAAATTCTGGAACTTTGCACAATTCCATAGATTACTAAGATGCATTTATTGTATTTATTTTTAGTTCTATGCCCAGTGGGTCCTACACAGGTTTGTAAGTTCAAGTTTTAGGATGAAATAGTCTCAGACAAACAAAAGCAGTGTTGTTTTCCATGTGAGTGATGGAGAAAGGAAAAGGTTAGAAAGAGTGGCCTGCTTACCTGGCTCTGAGTAGCTATATTGCTCCTGCGCTATTATTCATGAAGGGGGGCTGAGGAGCACGCTGCAGCACCACACGGCTCCTAACACATCTGTGGAAAAAAAACACTGCGGTGTTGGAGCTGTAAAGTGTCACCTTGTCGCCAGTATTAAGTCTCTTCTGCTTACAATTGTAGGCTCTAAAACAGCAGAATCTGAAGGAGTTATACAAAATCTGAGGTAGTTGAATTGAAAAATTCCAAAATCAGTATAATTGTGTGAAGATTGTTTAATTAAATGCATTAAATTAGCCTTTAACAGAATTGATCTTAATAGATATGATCCAAAATCATTACAATTACTTATTCTTCTTAATTTTGACCTCAAATACCTATTTTAGAGCTTTTCATAAATGCTTCAGCCCAGCTTCTCAGAACCCCCCTTTGCCGTTATTTGTGTGTGAAATATAGGCAGCTAGAGGTCTGTGGTATTTTATTGGGATCTCTTTTAATTCCTGTCTTACCCTTTTGGTCTTTGCTCTTTTCTCCTAACACTGTTTTTGCATTGCATGTGTTAACTTGGTAGCATTAAGCACTATGTGCTCTCAACACTCTGTGTTGTAATGTAATTTAATTTTTAATCTGAGACTCATCCCTTCTCGTCTCTTACTTCTCCCAATCCCTTAAATCTACCATCCACCTTCCTCCCCCTTTTTTGAGCCAGAACCACAGCGATATGCAGTGGGCAGCCTCAGAGCCACAGAACAACATGAACGCTCACAGGAAAGGAATATGCGTGAATGCTGCAGGGAAACTAAATTTGCAGTAAAAATTTGTGTGCTCATGTTAAGCACACACTAATATAGTTACCCAAAATGCTGTTAAAGCTATAGCTGTTTGAGTATGCAGCATTTCGTGTTGTTACTGTTTACTGTTATCAAACAAAATGCTTTCTCTTAAAAGGACATTAGATATTTTTTATTTCTAATGAAATTCGAACACCACATGGGGAAAAAAAAGCACCATTTTAACATTCAGGAACCATTATTTAAACAGCATCACTTGCTTCATTCTGCATAAGCTTTTATGATGTGAACAGAAGTTAAAGGAAGAAGGTAAATGGTGTTGGATAAAACCTAATTCTGTCCTCAAATACAAAATAAAATAAGAAAAATTAGGGAAACTAACTGAGAAAATGTGTAATCACATTGATTTATAATTGTTTATTAAATTCCCGTCTTTGAAATATGGGCTTCAGAAATAAAAGGTAAGTATGTTTATTTTTTCTGGAATAATTATATGTAAATTAGATGACTTTTGTCAGACTTTTCTGGTTTTCTTTCATTTTTCTCATCATGTTTTACTTTTAGAACCTTGGAAAACTTCATTTTAGTGTAACTTGCACAACAGATTTTTATTGTTCTAGTTTAGCTTATGGTACTTCTCCACAGCTGTTTTGGTTTAGTCTCACCTGTCACGTCTGACACTGACTGGTTACATGCAAAGACCTAAACTAAAGAATCTGCAAAGACTCACAAGGAGCAAAGTCCTTTTAGAAGCGGCTACTTTTTCCTGTGAAACGGATCTTCAAATGTCTGATTTTGCAAGAAGAACTTCAAAGGTTATCTACTGCTAAAGTAATTTTAAAAAGCTAGTTTTTGAATACATTTAGGCTTGTTTACATGTTCCCTCAATTTTGATGAAATCTCATGGAAATATAGTACCAATAAATAGAAATACAAATTCTGAGGTCTCTTGGTGGGGCCCCTGCATATCACTTCCCCTGTCCACATCTTTTCCCATGCACTGTGCCAATCACGGCACATTGTGCCAATAAAAAAACCCATCACCCTTTTAGATCTCTTTTGTTTTAACATTTTGTTTTATTTCCTTTCTCCTGTATTAACAGTCAGTTGGTGGATGTATTGAAATGTCTGCCATTTCTGTTTGTGTACAGTTTAATGTTTGTTTCAAGGCAGAGAGAGAGAGAGAGATTAGCATTTTTAAGACCTAGATAAGCTAGCAGAATTGCCGTTGAAAGCGTTTGGTCGGTTTCTTACGTTGTGTCACGTGTGACTGTTTTTTTGACAGCCCAGTATTTTAAAGCCAGGTTCGTATGGAAATGCCTTCACTCCACTTGCACTGCTGTTGGACTCGCCGTCGTTGCTTTCATCCGTCTGTCTATTCTTTTGGTGCACTCATATGCTGTCCGACACCCAGCGTACATGTCATCTCTGGCCACCAACCTCCACAGAGCTCATCCTGACCTAATCTCTTAACTGTTAACAGGTGCAAACTGTTGCTGCATCCTGCCTGCTCCAAATTTTTAGAAATATGCCATAAAAACACTTGAAGTTTAGGTTCTTAATGTATCATTCTTTACCACAATTTATAAATAATGTTTGATAATGTATCATAAGTATTTTTATGCTCATAGTTCTGAGTGGATTTAAATCGTACGGGTTCCTTTAAGTTTCACATGCAAGTTCTACAAATTATTGACATTCATGCTGTTAGTGCACAATAGTAACATTCAGAGCCAGTGTCATTAACCAAGATATTAGTATCTGTCAAAGAGAAAAATTTAATTTAACTATTCAGTTCTGAGTGGAAGAGGGAAAAAAAGTACCAATCACAGAAAATCCCAAACTTCACAATAAACAGATTGTGATGGCCTCATCTTTTCGACCAGAATGCATAAATCTGTCACATGGTTTGTTTGTAATTATACGGATGACATGGTTTTTATTTTGTCCAAAGCTGACGATTCATTACATGCAGCTAAAGCAGGCTACTATATGTGTCATTTAAAACAAAGGAATAAGTCAAATCTGTTCTTGCACCATTATGGGCAGAGATGAAGTGTGTGCCGTGTGTTTGAGGCTACCACCTCCTTTACACGCACTAACCTATTCCAAAGCCAGCTCACTTCCACCACCTGAAAACATACCTCCTTCATGGCTCAGCCTGCTCTGTTCTGCCCATTTTCCTGACCTCTTGTCAAAGAGATCTCTTCAAGCCTTGAGCCATCCTCCCTCACTGTGCCTGATCCATCCCAGACTAACTCAGCTGGAGTTTTGTTCACCTGCCCTCTACCCCCCCGCCCACACCACTGTATGTGTACCACTCGCAGTGCTCCTACTAACTCCGACGACCCTTTTTGTTAAAAAGCATTTTAACAAAAAGCTGCATGCTTTTTTTTTTCTTTTCCTATAATGTTTTTTTCCTACCCTTCACTTTCTGTTTGTGAAAGTCGACGTCATTCTCTTTGTGATTATAAATATCCTTTCTGTTTGATTTGTATGGATTTTGATAGAATGCAGCACTCTGGTGAATGTTAGACAAGCTTGGAATAGTTATAATCACAACAGAAAACACTGCTTAGACAGAAATGTCATTGTTTCCTGTTTTATATGTGCTTGAGGATGTACTGTAGTGTGTAGTGTTGGGATGGTCTTGCATTTCACTTTAAAGTTTTTGTTACGTGTTTACCAATAATAGTAAAATAACATGACTTGCTCGTTTTCCCCACAGTTTGCTGGAAATTGCTCTTGTGCATTTTTTTCGACTGCCTCTTATGCCACTTTTACTCATTGCCTGTTGTCTGATCGAACCAGAATCGTTGGTCATATAGTAAATTGTCAGTATAAGTTAAAAAATTGAAGCAGATTTACAGATTGTTGGTGGCACGTTTCTTTTAACATGGTTGGAATCTGACAATTCCTGATAAAATGGAAAAAAAATTATGAGGCGTCCAAAAAAATGCTCTGCGGTCATTTATACTATTTCTAATGGGGTTAGAGGTACACTGCTCTTCTCTTCATCTTCAAACCCACACAGCCCTTCACACATGCATAACCAGTCAACTCTGGGCCTTGTAATGGTAATCCAAGGCCCAAAAGCTCCACTTCTGTCTCTTCCTTTCGCTATATTTTTGTGACAGCTGAATGTTCCATGGTGCCCCTTCCCCTGTCATGGTTACAGATTCACAGCAAGCTTGGAGTTTCTACTCTTTATTTTGTTACTGCTAGATTTCCATACCTGTTTCTGTCTCTTTTATTTGTGTACTAAGATCCTACTCTGTAGTGAATCATATATGTATGCGTGCGATACATATATATATATATATTGCCCTCTCCTTCCTCCTCCTCCTAATTTTTACATAGTGGATGTTATTTGATGTGTTTAAATGGATTATAATACTAGATTTTTTTCTTTTTATTTTTGCTTGAAAACCCTTTTTTAAATACATTTATATTGTAGGAGTAAATCCTAAAGGTTACAGACCACACAAAAAGTCATGCATTTATTTAACATAGAGGCAATCCTACCCTTCAACTCAAGTCCCCCAGCCTTTACCCCTCTCCCCCTACTTGCCCTAACACTCCTTGTGCTGGAGGACACTGATTGTTACATGCTGTAGGTGATGATGATGATAACGACAATGGTGATGGTGGTGGTGGTTGTGCTTATGATGATAGTGTGATTTGAGTGTTTTGTTTGTCTTGATGTTTTCATCCATGCTCACAGGGTATAGCTCCTCTTATTATTGGAATATTTTTGGTTTTTTTCTCCTCTCTTCTCTCTGCCAGGATAACATCGGACACCGGCTGCTTCAGAAGCATGGATGGAAGTCGGGGCAAGGACTTGGCAAGACCATGCAGGGTAAGGATTCAATCTGAAGCACACTCATTTTCAACGTTTGCTGGTGGCACTGAGCCACTCTCTTCTTTTTTTGTTTTTTTTTTCCTACTCATATTTTTATTTGTTTCGTTATATATGATACCCTACCAGATTCTTTTCTCTTCACATCCTCTATTTGCCCTCTTCCTTTTTCTGATTCTGCACTGGAACAAGTTGGAAAGGAACAAACATGATCCAGTTCTGTCATTCTGCTTTTCTCTTTAACTTGAAGATAGGCATTCCCAGAGTGTTGTAGAGAATTAGGTTTAAGAAATTAAGCTTTGGGGAATTTCTGATTTTTTTTTAGTGAAGCATTTGTTTAGCAGTAAATGAGATGTACAGATCCAATTTTATATGAGTTCAATTTACTCAAGAAATATTTTGCATTTTATCACGTGTTGCAGAACCCCCAAATAAGACACATTCCATTATCTTGGATGTTGGCCATAACGTTTTTGTGTTTGATAACAAATATTGCCATTAAAATTAAAGCATTTTGTAAATTTATTGGTGCATAATATGGGCACAGGCAATTAAGCTACTTTGCCCAATGTAAAGCATAAAATCAAAGTGAATACATTTTAAATACTTCAAATTAAACACCTGTACGTGCATAAATCAATGTGCTAAAACACCTGCTTGCAGTTCTGCAGACTAGTGGTAACTTTAACCAACTGTGTAAAAAAAAAAAAAAAAAAAGAAAAGCTGTTAAGTCCATCATACAGTCTTAGCATGAGCATATGGGGACCTCTGTGGTTGTTGCACCTGCACTAAACTTCACATCCACCTTCTATTTCTGCTTGTGTTGTTGCATCGTCTTATCTGGTTATCCAGGCCACAAAATAGAGAATTTGTTGGTTTTTAAAATTCAGAGCATAATTTTTTTCTACTGTTTAAAGAATGCCAATAGCCTGTATGTGGGCCACATTTAAATGAGTTTTTGTTTGACTAAAGATAAAATGTTGAACTAATTGGAATATTTGCATTAATTATATACATGAATCTAAACATTTTAATCCTATTTTCATCTTTTAACTTATGCACTCTAATTGTCTTTAGGCCCCTGTACAGAACATTCACATGTTAATGGAAGAATAAAGGTTTTTATCATGTTTTCCTAAAAAAAACAACAACAAAAAAACAGTGTAAATGCTTCTCCAGTCTATTTCATTGGTGCTGCACCTGCCAAACAAGATCATTTTAAGCATTTTATAGAATCAGATGTAGGGTCACGATACTAAACTTTTCAACTCGATACCGATACTAAGGAAAATATTCGATACTTGATACCATTTTCGATACCACAAGGATAAAAACTCAGAAATATTTTTGATTTATAATAAAAATACAATAAATAAATAAATAAATACAATAAACAATAAGAACAACATTTTAAGATTGTTTGCTGTGCACAGTATTAAGCAAGCTTGATAAAAAACTTACAAAATTAAAATTAAGTTTTCCTTACTTGGCTATGCTTTGCACACATAACAATGACGCTAGCCAAACCAGTTAAGAAACAAAAATAATTCTCAGCAGCTGCACCTGTTACAAAAAATGTCTGAAACTGAAAAGTGCAAAGAATTATTCAATCACACAGTGTTCAGAAAGTGCATTTTCCTCTATTCTGCACTTTAGATGAATAACTGTTAAGGTGCCACTGGTGGTGGCACTGTATCGATACTTTTGAAAATGAGTATTGTATCCGGATACAACGTTTCAGTATTGATACTTTTTTTAATATCGATACTTTTGACAACCCTAATCAGATGCAACATTTTAATAAAATTATTTTGGAATAGAATTAACTGTCCCACTCCCTTTACTTTCATTTGCAACGAGTTGATATTGATTCACTGAGATAAAAGGCAGGAGATTGTGTGGGCTGGTCGGTCCACTTGTTACTACACCATTAGTTTAAACCTGTTGTGTTCATATGCTAAATAGATATGTAGCAGTGGTTCAAAACCCTGGCAGGTTTCCAAAAATCCCAAATTCCAAAAATGTTGTTGTTTAACTTCCTGTTTGTATCTTCCACGTTTTTTCTGCTTTGCAACAGTTTACTTAAATTTTTATTTTTTTAATCCTCAGTTATCTTAGAACTTAACCTTAAAAGGATGTTATTTGGCATCGTGCATGAATGCCAGTCTGGCATCTTAATGTCCCCTTAGGCTTTTTTTTTTTTGTCTTGTCCACATTCTCCAATACATCTTTCTGTAATTGTGAATCATTTCAGTCATTTATAAACCATTCATCCTCCTTTACTGCAATGTTACATTTTGTTTGTAGACAATATTAAATGACATCTGTTCTAAATGTTGGTATTTTAAGCAGAAAAACAACTCAGCTGTTTGAGCCGAAAACATTAACAAAACAAAACATTTCTTGTAACATTTCTGTACTTTATAAAGTAGTGCTGAAATAATCCTGCATAACTAATAGCAGCATTTTAACATGTGTGACATTATTTGCTGGTTCTACAAATTCCCATTTCAAAAAAACTGAAACTGCTAAACCTTTGCTCAAAACAAAAGATAATTTGGCTTCAGATTCCTAATCTTGCTTTAGGGATTGCCTGTAATAATTGAAGATAAACGCTGAGTGTGAGATCTTCTTGGCACCACAGGGAAGTTTATTGTCTGGTAGTGGGTTTTTCCATTTTGCTGCTGCCCAGCTATCTTTTAGTTTATGTACATATATAGCCTTAGTTTCTTGTGTTGTCTCTGAGGTATTTTCAGCATGAATGAAGCTAGTGAGCGGATTAGACCTGGAAGCTGTTTCATTCTGGGCAAGCTGACAAAAGCATGAAGGCCAGCAGCCCGGCAGAAATTTCCATCCATGTTTATTTCCATCCGGCCTTGAAGAGTCAGATGGCAATATATTGGAAGTGATGTGGAGGAGAGAAAACATTGCAGGGGATGACTGTGCTCTTGTTTGTGCCGCTGGCAGAATTAATGTGGTTACGTAAGCATCCTACATTGTGGGCAGATGAGACTGCAGCAAATTGTGTCCAGTTGTGTAGGAAGTAATGGCTCAGCTTAGAGACCGCTTCCCTCTCAAACTTGTGAGTAGGCTCCCATATTAATCACAGCATCACATCTCATCGAAGTATGCTGGGTAATCATGGTAATCTTCCTCCTCTTTCCTGTCCTCCCTGCCAGAAGAGACAGTTGTTGAAATTTGAAGTTAAAGCATTGTCCCCTCTTTACGTTTTTCACTGTATTGACTTTGTTCTTGTTCTTCTTTTGTCCCTTTTGCCCCTTTTAGGTAAGGTTTGTTGGATCCCCTCTCTATGTCAGTATGCATGTGTGGGTGTGGTTTTTATTTTCTCCCACTCTGCAGTTGACCTAAGTGTAATACTCCTTTTACAGTTTATTATAGGCTAATGGCCTCTGTCAGCTTCTTCCTCTTTGCTTCATAATCACTAAACCTTTATTTCAATCTGCTTAAGAGAAAACGCTTCGATTTGTGCAAAGATTCAAGATCCATGTGAAATCAAAGTAGATTTAGGAACCCATGAATAATGATTCACATCCCCTAGAATCATCATCTCCATGTATTTTAGATTTTTTTCCCCCCTCTCTTTGAGTTTCCGTGGCTGCTGTTGAAGTAATCTGATTGGCTGTAACCACGGCTCAGACTTTGAATGGCTTGCCGTGTAGAAAAGTTCTCCCCTTCTGCTTGTTTACCTATTTCTACCTCTAAAACAGTGAAAAGTTGTGTTTGTATGTGCGTGGTCATTATGTGGGACTGAGATGTGTATGTCTGCTACTTACCGGGCCGTATAGTCAACTTACAGGGAAAACCTCTCCACCTTTTTACACTCGGAGTGTCTCTGTCCCCATGGTACAGACTTTCATCCTCCCCCTGTTTCTTTGCCCCTTCTGCACAGCATGTTTACCCAGAGGTGCACTCCTGCTTGCCTCAATCTGTTACTTACCAGAGGCTTTAAGCAGTGTTGGAGGTAGGATGCTAAACCACAATAATCATTAAATAAAAACGGTGTAAAACTAAAAAAAAGAAGTGGACACAGTTATATTGTTTCTCATTTCCACCTATAGCGATATGGGAAAGACTCTGAACACTGCTAAAAGCCTGTCTGGCTACTTTTTCAGGTACGTTCCTATGTTTTATGTTTTTATTTGTTGTGGGGTTAAGCATATCCCAGACTAAGCTTGCTGGCTGTAGACAAGCTGGGGGAAAATGATCTTGAGGAGAATTGTTGAGAGGGCTATAACAAGCTTATGCCAGGCAAAAAGCTTAGAGGGGGAAAATGGTGGTCTTCCCGAGAGGCATGAATCGAAAAATCCTTTTTTTACTTATCTTTTAAAAGAAAAAAACATTGCAGATTTAGGCACGGGTCAGGTAATTTTATTGAGTTCAATATTCTTTAAGATGGGTTTGGAAAAAGGTCCTTTAGACCGTCCTTATGCATGAAGCCACTTGTACGGCATTGGATACAGAGAAAGTTTTAGATTACGTGGGTTTCAGTTTTTTTTTTGGTCAAACCGTAAAGACGGGCCACTAATAACCTTGCTTTGCTGTGAGCTTTCAGAAATAAAGCCAGTGTAGAACAACAAATGGGGAGGGGATCATTTGTTACATCTCCATTTCTAAAAGCTGTTCAAAGTCTCATTATAGCACTCATTTCAGAGCATTAATGTCCATCAAAAGGTGGTTTATAAATCCTGTTGTTGTTGCCTGAGCAAATGCTTTGAATTTAATTTGAATATGTTCCCTTATTTCTCCCAAAGTTTTGCTTACACTTTTAAGTTCTGCAGCTAGCTTGTCGTACAAACCCTACTCCATCACTTAATCACTCGAATGATGATATAAGCCTGCTTGTTCTTATATATGCTAAATGATGCAGGGCTGTAGCTAGCTCGCTTGGCAATTCAGTAACGGAGGCGGCCTGACTTCAACTCCCATACTCTAAAGGCATGACCAGTTTTTTTATGCTCATGCATGAAAGAATATGTAAAAAGAGTATTTATTACGTATTGTTGTCATTTATGTAACTCCTTTATATCAGCTGTAGTGTTTATGTATAAAACTTCAATGAGCAAGCATTTATTTAAGGTTGGCAAGCGTTCTCTGTTGAGACATTTAATGTTAAAAATTAGGCCTATATCAGTAGAAAAAGTAACACGTTACTTTGTTGTTAGTGGTGTCACATTAATGGTTTCATGTTATTTTAAGGGGAAAGCAAAACTTTAATGTTACACCAGCTGTCATATTTTCAGTGCTGTCTCATGAAAAGTGAGAAAAAAAGTGAGGGGTGTGTTCACCACTTGCAGCACATCTCTGGCCATGCCCAAACAAGTAGATTTTACTGTTTTTTAAATGATTTTTATTTCTGTTTATTGTAAGGATCTCCTACTGGCCCGTGCCTAAATGTATTTTATACTTTTTTTTTTTTTCATCTGATGTTCTCTTTGTTAAAATAGTCTATTTTTTAAATTTTTTTTAATCTTCTTTAGGTGAAAATGTTTCTTATAGACATACATAGAATACATTGTGTAATGTAATGCAGCTGCTTCTTCAATGCAGGTTTTTATAACTAGTAATAAAGTGCTTGAATTCTATGTATTCCCCTTATTTTTTTATTGCCACCTGGTTTCTGGTGTGAATTATATCTGATAATTTAGAAAACAGGATGGAAACTTTATATTTTAATGGGGGACAAATATGATCTGTGACCTTTATGTATTAAAATTACTGTTTACATTATCCTGCAGTGGAGAAGCTTAGGTTACGGGGATGGCAGTCTGGTTCCTTGTGCTACATTTACAGTCAAAACAGTGACAGTGCCACTTTATGGGCCTGGGGACTCGGACAAACGGTTTGAATAAGTGGTGAGAGGAGATTCCTGTAAGCACATAGCCCTGAGTAAAGGGATGAGGTGGGTGGGGGCGGTGACTTACGGAAGGCCCTCTGGGAACGCTCTGCAAACCCACTCCCACACACACCCAACCCCACCTCCCCTTCTCTATGTGCCTCAATCTTCCTGCTTAACCAATTGGTGTTTCTTTTTTACAGCGATATGATCCTGCCCATGTTGTGCTGATGGTAAACTTAGTGGTAAATGTTATTTTATCCCCCAATTGAATTTTATTTTTCTTATTAATTTCTCCCATTATTTTCATTTTCCTCTCATCAGAGCACCAATGCTACATAGGCTTTCAATTCTCTCTGTCCTAGTCCTCATTCTGCTGCTTGTATATTACCATGCATCTGTATTACTCTTAGAACATTTGTCATTTTGTTTTCAGTTTTTTTTTTTTTAACCTTGTGATTCACACCTTTGTGATTTAGCTGCACATTTTTTTTTCTGTCTGGTCCCTTTGTTTTCCACTGGAATGGGGTAATGTGGAGGTATTGACACTGTGTATAAGGACTGGTGATAGTCTGGGATCATTGTAATCGTTCATTAGCCGTCAGTTCTGGGCCTTGCTTGTGACTCAGTTGAGACAGACCACTGCAGTGGCTGGCTAAAAGACCAGACTGTCTTTGCTTCTCTGCTCTGATGCCTTTTGTAAAAGAGTGTAAAACCCACACATATTTCTGTATAGTTGTGTCCTCTGTATCACATCAGAAGCCATTTCCTCTTACTTCCTCTATTTGAATAAGCTAATGAGAATATTGAGGTAAGAGTGAGATGTCTGTTTAAAAGCTTGTCCAACTCAGAGACACTGCAGTGGGACTGAAAGTCCAGGCAGGCAAAGACATGTTACAGTGTCCATGCATCAGTGATTACAGGGGGGGGATAAGTCATTGGGCTGTAATGACTTCATTACCCAAGGCGAGCTCAGGAATGACTGATAATTACATAAAATGTCTGTTTTACTTACTCAGTTTAACAAGGAAGCAACTTCTCTTTGATTTTCAGAGGCATTCCTTTAAACTTGGAGCAAATCTGTCCAGGTATTTATTTTTGGTAAGCCTAAGGGAATGCGTAGAAATCTGGGCGGGCGGGGGTGACGATTGTGAAAATATGGCAGGAAAAGAAAAAAAAAAAAACTGAAACCAAACTGAATTAAAATCGCCTTCAGTAAGATTGGTTTTTGTCTCTGGCTGGCATCAGGAGCAGCAGATTAGTCCAAATTCTTTTTATGCTTTTTGTTTTGAGATTCCCCTGTCTTTCTATCTATTTGTCTGTCTGTCCTCCCCTTTCCTCCTCCTACTCATCCCCCCATGTTTTATCAGGTAAGTATCCCCCTCCCCCCCTCCCTTGCACTGTCAACATGGCAACACCTGGCCTGTGACATCACTCTGCTGTAGTTCAGTGCTTGTGTCTTTATTTTTGTTTACATTCTCTCTGCTTTGTTTGGCTGATTATAAGTGGATTAAGCAATTTGTGTCAATCTCTAAAGTAGTTTTGATTTTTAAATATTTCATATCTATAATGTTTCATTCTGTTTTTGATTGTCTTTTGGTTTCATTTTCTAAAGTTAATTTCCTTCTGTTCTAGCTCTTTTCACAGCTTACATTGTATATCTTGAGGGATTAGGAATTAATTTATTTGACATGGTAATAAAAAAGTAGGTCTCGGCTCAGTGAAAAGTGTTCGTTTCACACAGTCCTGTAAGAGATTATGCAATTGGCTTCATTGACTTTTGGGAGTTCCTCTTCCATTAAAGATTTTGAGATAAAGGAGGCCGTGGAGACGTGTTGCAACCATGTATAGGAACTCAAGCTTTCGCTTCCTTAGAAACTTGGTCTAATAGAACTCTAGCTATAAATGCATAGTGATGGCACTCGTCCTTCTTAATCCATCAGGAATTGAACAAAGCTACAGTTCATCTAGTTCACCTAAGATACAAACCAAAGGTCACATTAAAACAATGTAGCCCACTTCAGTTGAGGTGGCTGTAGTAAGCTGTGAGAATGGCTGGTGTTTGGTTCACTGTAGCTTTCTGGTCTCTTTGCACTTTCAAGGCAAAAAAAAACAAAAAAAAAACTCTAACCCCAGCACCCTATGCTCTAAAAGCAGGCTGTCTTCGAATGAATGTTTTGTCCAAAATCTAAGACTCAACTAGTGTTCTCTGTCTCTTTTGCCTCAGGACGCACCGACCCTGTGCCCATTGTCCTTAAATATGATGTCATGGGGATGGGAAGAATGGAGATGGAGGTGAGATGCTGAAATTTACCATTTTTTTTTTATCTTTTCGTTCATGTCATGTTAAGGAATTATCCAGATAAAATCCGGCAAGTTTCCATTGTGAGAACCACAAAGTTCCTTACCTTTGAGAAACAAATGTTGTGGTGCAATAACTTGATCTCAAACTTGGAGTGCTGCAAACGCAAGTACACTCCTTTTTAAATTGGTGATATCAGCAACTCCATATTTGTCAGTGTCAAATTATTTATAGCATGGGGTCAAGTCTCCTATAGTGCCATGGCCTCCGTTATATTGTGTTGTTATTCAACATCTTTTTGAGATAAATGCTTAAAGTCGTAGGGAAGTAATATTTAAATTTCAAATCATTCTGGCTTAAACATGTATATAAATGTACTCTTTATCAGACCATATTGTCCCAAAAGTCTTAAAATATATATATTTTTTTTCATTACCTTCTGCAAACTGAAAACATATGATTGAGTTAAATCACCTGTATCCTGACTTTTGTAGCACTATATGGCCCTATATGACAAAAACAAAAACAAAAAACAGTTTGTTTTTAGACAACTTATTTTAGCTTTTGTTCGTTCTCTCATTTTATTTTTCAATTTGAACTTTAGATAAAACTGAAATGCCTACATTTGAGTCTTTCTCCCATATTTAACAAATCCCTAAGTAAAAATGCATCGCTGGGATTTTAAGTAATGCCTAACATGGGTTAATGTTTGACCTTTATTTTGTAACGACAGGCTAAGGTTTTTTTTAAACCTTCCCTTACTTTTTAATTTTGAGACATTAAAATATTTTCAAGACTACAGAAATGTACTCCATACTGTCACTGACACTTGTACAGGCTTCCCACGGGTCCTTAAAAAGTCTTAAAAGGCATTGAATTCTTCAAAATAAAACTAAGGCCTTAATTGGTATTAAAATGTCTTAAATCAGTGTTTCGTAGGTCTTAATTTAAAAAACATCATAAATGTTACGATTTATTTTTGTAATGTAAATAAAACATTAAAATTGAAAATTTTTAAAAAAAAAAAAAAACAACTCGCCATTATTGGTTCCGTCCCGATAGCGGAACCAATAAAAGCGTTGTTGCGGCCGGGACATTTGGGAGATGCGCCATTAACTTTTTGTCTGGAAAATAAGAGCAAGTGTAAATGTAACGAAAATTGGTTATCCAGCCAAAAGATTTCTCCATGGCTTAAACCAGTACCAGGGAACATACATGAGGCACAGTGTATTTTGTGCAAGAAGCGATTCAAGCTTGGAACGATGGGAATTAAGGCAGTGAAGTCTCATGCGAACCGTGAAACACAAAGCGTCAAAATCGAGTTACCGAGAAACAGCCGGTATTTCTCAGTTTTGTTCCACATCACCAAATCAAACATACTAATAAAACGATACAAAGAAAAATAGCTGCAAAAAAGACTTGCTGCTTCTTATGTTGTGGCTTTAAAACTGATTTGTTTTGTTCCCTTCTAAAAGAAAGTTTGTGAATTCAGTTAAATAATTATTAAAATATATCTGTCATTTGTGTGTTTTTAGCTTTCTTCCTGTATGGAAAGTTTTTCAAAATTTGAAACATTAGTGCAATGGTTTATTTTAAAATAAACCTTTGGGTTAAGTTGTCGCAAGCAGCTTTTTCTTGTGTTTCTTGTGAATTTGGTCTTAAATTTTTATCTCAAGTAGCATAAAAAAGTCTTGAATTTAACTTGCCTTATGCTGTAGGAACCGTGTTGTATTACTTCATCAACTTAGAAGTGGCCTATCAGGTGGCACACTGCTGTTGTTGACTCACAAGCTATTTTGTTTTCTGGAAGTGCTGGAACTGCTGTGTTTGTCCTTATAGCTGGACTATGCAGAGGATGCCACAGAAAAGCGGAGAGTGCTTGAAGTGGAAAAAGAGGATACAGAAGAGCTTCGACAAAAATACAAGGTGAGATCCTAAAAGCTGATTAGTTTTAACATGTATTAAATTAAATAATTAGTTGTTTATCTGTTTTTCAAAATGTCTTTGTATTCCTAACCAAATATAGGACCAGGTGGAAAAGGAGAAGGCTATCGCAAAAGCTCTGGAAGACCTGAGAGCAAATTTCTACTGCGAACTCTGTGACAAGCAGTACACCAAACACCAGGAATTTGACAACCACATTAACTCATACGACCATGCGCACAAACAGGTATTTATTATCTTAAAGAACTCTAAACAGTAGGATTGATCAGTCTGGTAAAGTTTAAGTTTGATAAGCATTTAAACAAAGAACAGCTGAATGATTTAAATGTCTTCAGTACAGTAAATATGTGTCCTCTTTAATTTGATGCAGCGGTTAAAAGAGCTGAAGCAGAGAGAGTTTGCACGCAATGTTTCCTCCCGTTCTCGAAAAGATGGAAAGAAGCAAGAGAAGATGCTGCGTCGACTGCACGAGCTGGCAGAGCAGAGGAAACAGGACAAACAGAACCGGTAAGAACATACCACTGCAGCGCCCTCTGCTGGCTAAACTTAAACAATTAAATATGTGTCAAAACAAAGCATTTATTGCCACATCCTCAATAAAATTACCTTTGTTTAATATTTTAGTACTCCTGGAAGTGGCCCTATGTTCAAAACGACAACAGTCGCTATTGACGGGGAGAAAGAAGGAGATGGTGAAGGCGCTGCACTTGAGAACCCTGTTTTGACAGATGCCATCCGTGAGGGATCGCCATCAGAGAAAATTGGCCAATCCTCCCCGAAGCCCAGCCCAACTATCAATTTTTCACTGGGGAAGAGCACATCCTCATCCCCAACCCCCAGTAGTGGATCAAAAGTCAGCGTGTCGTTCTCCTTTGCTAAGAAAGCCCCCGTAAAGCTGGAAACTGCAGCTGCTGTGTTCGCTGATCATGGCGAGGAGGCTAAAGAGGAAGACGAGGATCAGGAGGGAGAAAAGGCTGGGAGACAGGAGGAGACATCCGCCTGCAGCACAGAGAGTCCTAAGGGAGCGCCTGAAGGAGATGGAGGAGGGGAGAAAGGCGGTGCGGCTGAAGCAGAAGAGGTGCAGCAGCCTGATGACGGTGGCTCACTGGCTTCAACTTTAAACAAACTGAAGATGATGATGAAAAAGGATGAAGGATATTCTGGACAAGAACCTCAGTACTATCACTACGTACCGCCAGCTCATTGTCGGGTGAAGCCTCACTTCCAGTTTTTGTTATTTATGAAGGCTTCGGAGCAATGTCAGAGCAAAGAAGATGACGAAGAAGAAGAAGAAGAAGAGGACGAAGCAGGGGAAGTTCAAAAGGCTGAAGAAAGTTCTGATCAGACAGAATCCAAAGTTACAGACTCCACAACTGAGAAAGAAGAAGGTAAAGATACATCAGCAACCGACACAGAGCCGCCTGCTTTGTCACCTAAAGTAAAGATGGAGGAAAATGTCTCTTGTGCTCTGGACACGGCTTCTGCTGCTCCCTCTTCTCCCACTCAGAAACCAGAGAACAGCCAGAGCACACCCGACTCAAACACTGGTCCAAAAATCCCAATGGGTCCCTTCTTCCCTGTCCTCAGCAAAGATGAAAGTACCACTTTGCAGTGGCCTACAGAGCTTCTTGAGTTTACAAAAGCTCAGCCTTCACTGTCTTACAGCTGCAATCCTCTCTACTTTGACTTTAAGCTTTCAAGAAACAAAGGATTGCGTGGTGGGAAAGCAGCAAAGTCCCCCAAGCCTGGAGAAGAGACTGATGAGAAAGGACAAGACACAGCTGCTCCAACAGCTGCAGCTGCTGTACCTCTACCTGAAGCATGCACTGATAAAGACAAGCCGTCAATGAAGGGAGATCCCAGCCAGCCTGAACCTGATGAGCAAAAAGCCACAACTGCAAGCAGCAGTACCAAAAAGAAGAAGAAGAAAAAGAAGCATAAGAAGTCTGGAAAACATTCAAAACGCAAAGGAAAAGAAAAGGACATAGCTGAAGATGCAGAGGAGAATGCCGAGGTGGCTGAAGAAAAACCTAAAAAGAAGAAGAAACACAAACGGAAAAAGAGCAAAAATAAAGCTCAAGATCAAGAAGAGGCAGCTGCGGATGAAAAAGAAAAAAATAAGCTAAAGTCGGAAGAAAAAGCTGCTTGTTCCTCTGTTCAGCCCCCAACTGGAGGGGGAGGGGCCACAGGAGCTGAGTTGGGTAAAAGGAAACGTGCTCCAAAGGAAGTGCCTTCTAAGTCTGGAGCAGAACAAGGAGGAAGTGGAAAAACCGATAAGACCAGCCCATCCGAAGATCACAGCGGTTCCAAAAAACAAAAAACCGACTCCAGTGGATCGCAAAGCGCCTCCTGCTCCACCTCCGCCCAAAAAAGTCCGGGTCACGGCAGACCACCCAGCAGTGAGAGTGAGGAAGATGGTGGCTCTAACACCCAGCGCTCGCGCCATCACAGGTCCAGCCCACGGGAGCAACGGCGCCATCACAGTGAAGAATCCAGGCGGTCCTGCAGTCGCTCGTCAAGGCGTGGGGAGAGACGTGGCAGCAGCCGGCGGCGCCATCGCGGCCAAACCTCCCGTAGCCGTTCTTACTCTAGCAGCTCTGGGCGCTCCTCGGCAAGAAGCAGTGCCTACAGTCACCGTAGCCGCAGTTACTCAGACAGTTACAGCGACTACAGCACAGAGGGGCGACGGCGCAGGCACTCGAAACGTTCCTCAGAGTCTGAGTACGAGCGGAGAGGCAGCCGAGGTCGTAGGCGATCCAGGAGACATCAGTACTCCTCTTCATCGTCGGACGATTCCCGCTCACGTTCACGCAGCTACAGCAGGAGGAAGCATCACCGGCGTCGCCATCACAGCAGTTCCAGAAGCTCCAGCAGCTGGAGCCGCAGCACCAGCACCAGGTCATGGAGGCGTAGCTACAGCCGAAGCCGAAGCTCAGCGAGTCGCTCCTCCAGCTCCAACAAAGGCTCCCCTCACAGACGATCCGCCAGGGGCCGAGCCGACAGCGACACGCATCGCAGAGATTTCAACCACTCTCGAATCTATCGCTCCCAGTCTCCTCGCTCATCGTCACGAAGCCTTAACCGGAACAGCCATGCATCCTCCTCTCAGACTTTGAGGCCGGTCGGATCTCGTGATGCAGGGGAGCACAAAAATATGCTGACGGCGCGGCAGCTGCTGGAGAGGGTTCAGTCCAAGAAAAGTTCTGAGGATTCTGGAACAAAGTCTGGGCTTAAGATTAAGGACCCACCAACGGGTTACTTTGGTCCTAAACTACCTCCAACCTTGGGAAGCAAAGCCATGCTGCCACTTTTTGGGAAGCTGCAGGCAGGGAAGAAACCATTGATTCCCCTGACAAGACCCGACGAGGGAGAGAAATCAGGAACTGGAAAGGGTTCTGAAGCAGATGGGGAGGTTATCCTTGTAGAACCTATAAGAGAGTTCCCTCCTCCACCCCCACCCCCAGCCCCACCAGTGCAGAAGGTGGAGGAGGTCCCACAGAACACAGTTACTGCGCAGGAGACACAAGCGCAGTCAAATGTCGAAGAGCAAGTTCACCAGGAAGCCCAGCCTCTGTTTGAACAAGATCCTTCCATGATGATGTCCCAGTATCAAGCTGAACCAGGTCAAGACCCCTCGCAGAACCCAATGATGGACTCCATCATGCCCGAAATGCAGCAACAGCAGGCTGCAGTGCACGGCTACCCCACCTACCCTCCGCCCAATCTGGAGGAGGACGGCATCGAGGCAGAAGAGGACGGCCTGGCTCCTCTGGAGAGTCAGCCCATCACCTTCACCCCAGAGGAGATGGAGAAATACAGCAAACTACAGCAGGCGGCTCAGCAGCATATCCAGCAGCAGCTTCTGGCCAAGCAGGTTAAGGCTTTTCCTTCGGCTGCTGCCGCGGCGGCGGCTGCTGCAGCGGCAGCTAACTTGGCCCCGGCTCCCCCTCCTCCAGCCCTGCAACAGATCCACATTCAGCAACCGACGGTCTCCGTAGCCTCGGGCACATCAATCACCACTGTTCAACACGCCATCTTGCAGCACCATGCTGCCACCGCCGCAGCAATGGGCATCCACCCTGCACATGCCCACCACCCCCACCCTGCACACGCCCAGCTGGCCCAGGTGCATCACATTCCTCAGCACCACCTCACTCCCATCTCCTTGTCCCCTTTAGGCCCGTCTCTTGGTCATTCTTTGGGACACTCTCTGGGGCATGCGGGGTTAATTCCTGCACACCATACAGCCTTCCTTTCTGGGCAGCCTATTCATATCATCCCTGCCTCTGCACTTCACCACACACCTTTGGCGCTCCACCATGTTCCACACGCGGCCCTCTATCCAACACTATTTGCACCTCGGCCATCTCAGGCTGCCGCAGCAGCAGCTCTCCAGCTCCACCCACTTCTGCACCCAATATTCTCGGGACAGGACCTCCAACACCCTCCTAACCACGGTTCATGAGGGATAATAGATTAGGAACAGGATATGAACACTTAGCCTCTGACAGAGCGTTGCAACGGTCTTGATTTAGGGATAGAGATGAAGCTTTTCCTCTATATAGGAAGTCAGACATGTCGGTAAAAGCATTATTCCACCAACTAAGTGGGCGTTACATGGTTTAGCTGTGTTTTGTTAAAAAGTTGACACTAGCATTTTCTATTGGTTCATCTGGGTGTTTTTATTTTCCTTTTCCCCGTGTTTCCTGCTATGAAGGCGAGTTTGTAGATGTAAAGAGACTGTTTTCTAAACCAATTTGAGTTTACAGCCACATTTACCACTGAATTCTTTTGTTTTCCTCATTTTGAAATCAGATTATTAGCTAATCCTGGCATCCAAAGAGATTCATAATAGCAGAGATGGCATTGAGGATCGTGTTGAGATTCGGTTACAGAAGCAAACAGCTTCAGCTCTCTTCTTTTGAGATGTGCCCATAGATTTACAACATCTCACTGACGTTTGATACTTTTCCCCATATAACACTCTGCTTTTCATTATTTTCTGGTCTCAAAGCGATTTTCGTTTGTGTAATTTGTACATATATCAGTGTGTAATGTGAAGAAGACAGCCATTAATAACCTTATAAAATAACTATGGTGTCTAAACTGGTATGACGCTCAAAAGAAGTCCTGAATTTGAAGAAAAATGGCAAAGAGGTTTTAACATCTGATACTCTGAGGCAAAGCTCCTGTTTCCCCACAGAGGGGCACATGTGAATGAATTGCACTGAAATCTGTACATTAGGATGGTGCTTTTGCATCATGTAACGATTGTAGTATACTGCAATAATTGTATTTTTATTTTTAAATTATTTTCAAAATGCTCTTCAGAGGAAGAGCATTGTTTGGCTTTTTTCTGTAATTTTGTAAATAAAAATGCTGTAGATTAACCTATTAACAAAAAAAAAAGGTTGACATTGCTCTCGGTTGAGCAGTTGAATTAGAAGTTACAAGACGGATTCGTATTTTATCAAGGTTGGTTATGAAATCCTTCCCTCTGGGATCGCAGACAAATTACTTGTCAAAAAAAAAACTAAAGTTGTGACTGTATTTTTTAAAAACATAACTGTTTCAACAAATAAAACTTTGAGTCCATATGTCTTTGTTTTCAGTGTGTAACGGTGCCATTGCTCAAGCTTTTTTTCCCACCTTCAGGAAAAATTCCTGGACAAATAATCCAAATCATGTTGCAGGTACCAACAGAAAACATTAGGTGGCGCCATAGTTACATTGAAAAAGCTAAGAGATCCTATTAATACCTACATAATCATATTGAACCTGGAACATGTTGAAAAGCTAGAATGGTTTACTTAAAGGACATGTAATCAGCTCAACCATGATAAAATAGGAAAGAAAAATTTTTTTTATTTGGGTAAATGCTTAAATGTCTTTTACAGATGATTAGGGTTATTACTAACCCTTTAAATGTTTAGTTATTAAAGTTGACAGATAAATAAAAGCTGCGGAATACAATCAAAACTCAGGTTTAGCACACACACAAAAAGAATCCTTTTGATGTTTATCAATACAGAAATCTTTTCCTCAAATTTACTCCTGCAAATCACAAAATGTATGATTTACTCTATTATTAATTTACATGTACACTTTGTGAAATGTAAAATCTAAATAGGGTTTGAGAAGTTTTTCAATGCAAGGGGTGCATAAGTTGGAAAGTAAAGTTCACAGTTCCATGTGCAAATAACACTGGTTAAAAATGAGAAGGTGAACATGAATATGCTCCAAAATGGAAATTGGAACATTTGAATAAAAAAAAGAAGAATATTTAGATATAAGTGGTGCCAAACTTTAAAGTAGGTATGAGAACATAAAGACATCTGTCGAGGGAAATGTACAGCTTGATTTATGGAGCCGTCAAAAGAACTGGCTTTGTTTTTGTAGATTCACACAACAGATGTGGAATTTAACCTCCATGGATGTGAGAACATGCAGAAAAGTGAACATAACCAACAAATTATTCCAAAGGGAATAATTTACAACAATTTATAGTAAAATCTGAATCTGTGTTTAAAGTAAAACATGATTTTGTGGTGGTTCAGTAAAACCAATTGATCTTGTGTAGAAAATCTGCAGACATTAGCTGTGATGTAATAAACCAAGAGACTGCAATGACTTTCTCTGCTGGTAACAAACAAGTAGACCAAGTTAATATTTAAATATTTTTAATATAATTTCCAGAAATTATTTTTCATATAAATGTGCAGCTAGAGCATTAAACACTATGGATAATATTCTTACTGAACTTCAGAAAATGAGTTTTTTTTTTAAGTGGTGATTCCCCATTTTTTTTCAGGCTTATGCAATCTTCAGTATCACAAATTATCAAGCTGTTCTTTTCCACCAACTTAAAAACTATTGTTTTATGCAGGTAAATCTAACTGTTCAATGATGGACATCACATAACTAAATGGATGTTGGATAACAGGTTATGAAACATTAGCAGAATGAAACAAAAGTTATAACACCATTTAGATTTGTCTATTCAATCACATGTTGACATTTCAGTCTTTTTTTTTATGAAAAAGGAGGCGAGATCAGTTTGTACGTGGGTTTGAAGAAGAAAACATGTTGGCTAGGCTATGGAAAGCAATAGACTGATAAAATACTGTCTAAATAGGAGCACATTTAGCGTAACCGTTTAACATGTATCCAAAATGAAGCGAAGGTTTTGAAAATAAACAAAACAATAATAATGGCACCTTTTATAAAAATTACTTAAAGATTACAGTTTCATATCCTGTGGGATGATGCATTCCTTAAATGTCCAAAACTGATCCAGTGTAGTGGATGGATAGTGGTCAGCCCAGATATCTGATGACGAGGAACATGAAGACGCAGGTCAGCAACATTCCTCCAATCATGATGAGCTTATCCTGCGTGGCTCGTCTTTCTATTAGTCTCATTACTGTGTTGGAGAGGCCCAACATGTTAGCTACGTCCAGCATCTTCTTGTGTGTTCCCTGTACATAAAAAAAAAAAAAAAAGGATTAACGACAGCAACAATTATCACGTGTGATGACTTCAGCAGCTGCGAAGGCACAGCTCATTGTTCATTATCTACACTAATTCATCTGATGTTGGGAAAGGGCCAACCGCCTCGGTGTCTCCAGCACTCTGTGAGGAGTTTCTCATGGCAGGACTGCCGGGCTGAGAGTGCTGATCAGCAGTCACACCCTGATAAGACGCTGAGGCCAAAGCCAGGAAGCCCATCTCCTCCCTGGAAACAAGGACTCCCCCCACCCACTCAGAACACCCTTAGTAACAATGAGATAATTACTAAGAACAGTACGGACACCAGAAGCCAAGTCAGGGATGTAATTATATTCCTTTTTAGATATTAATTTGAAACACCCAAATGTAGCTCATACACAGAAACTAAAATAACTTTTTGGATGTGCACACACCTTGAGGGTCGATCTTTGATCTCTAAGACCATTGAGGATGCTACTGCCGCTGCCCAGGAGGTCATCCATGCCTCGGTGTGCGTTCTGCAAACTGCTGTTAAATTGCACGTTCTCATCTATGTGGATGGCGGTATCTGCATCCTGTGGAACCATAAAAATATCTTATTACCGTACAATAAAGATTGTCACTACAAAAAAAAAAAAAAAAAAAAAAAGCTGTCTTGCAAAAGTCTTTATAGTCCTACAGTTAGAGCCACACATTCATGTACAACACTAGTGTTTTATGTACCAGACCAACCTAAAGTAGTAGATCATAGTAACTGAAAATAACATTTTCTTTTTAAACTGTTTTAGAAAAATATAGTCTAGTGATACTGTAGTATAAAAACTGATATTTTGTAAAGGAGTCAGAAGTTTGTTAGAGAACATAAGGAAAAAGTGGCAATAAGAAAGCTAAAACAAGTTCACCATACACTTTTAGTAGGGATGTCCCAATCCGATATTACATTGGTCTGATATTACCCAAAAAACTAATATTGGATTTTATCAGCCAGCATTTAAAATCAATAGAAAAAAAGTTTCTGTTAAAAGTTTCTGAAACCTATTGGTTAAATTTATATGGGTCAGTTGTATTCATACCTTTGCTGTTGCCTTTTGTTACCTTTTTAGCTATATTACTTGATTAAGCCTTTTCTAACATTCTACAGTATAAAATGAGTAATAACAGCTGTTAAAATACGTGCTGATATCTTATCTGGTCAATATCGGTATCGTATCGAAAATGAAAAGGTTGCATCAGGACATCCCTAAATTTTAAGAGCTAAGAGGTGAAAACTTTTGAAGCTTTTCAAAGCTTAGTGCCATTGCAAATTCTTGTAGAAAACTTCAGTAGGGAATTTCTACAAAATATGGATTTCATGATCAAGGTGGCTCTTGATTAACCAGTTTGCACCATAGCCTGAATTTAGGCACATTTAGCTCACATTTGTGGTGAAGCTGCGACTGAGGAGTTCCTCCCTCTCTCTCTCCTGGGCTTCTCTGGTGTAGCGTCTGTGCTGGAAGTTTTGGAGAGCAGTTCGCAGATGCTGAACATCATACTTCAGCTGATCCACTCGCCTGATGGAAAAGAAAAATCTGTTTTAATGGTTATAAACTATACAGTCGATTATAAAAAGGACCTCTATAAGTTTTCATCACAATTATTCAAATTTTACTTTTTCAAATTAATGTTTCTACATTAGATTAAATGAAAATGATTGTGTTAATTCTCTTAACATTCAGGTATTTATATAGTTTCTTGATTAAAGGGATTTTTTTCTGAGCTCAAATCTCTAGTCTTTCCCAGGCCCTCCGTTTCATGTCACGTTGGTCTTCCTACAGGCCTTCTAGGATCTGAGGAAAGCTTAGCTATGGGGTGATCTTTGTCCCCTTAGGCCTGTTTATCCAAGTCAGAGATGAATCTTTGCCCGATGCAGCAGGAATGCTGGTGATGACGAGGCTTCAGAGGAAATGTTTTTGTAGAGCCATGTTGCCACAGGGCAGGACAGAGCTGTTTTGTCTTGTGCACCCACCCTGTGACTTTATGAGATATAGCTTACGATTCCAGATCTAAGCCTTCTAACAGTTAAATGAATTCACACTCACGTTTTGGCGTTCTGGCGGCGGTTGGGCGGTTCTTTACTGGCCAGAATCTCAAGGCGTTCTAAATGGTTGAAGATCTGGTCGATTCTAGCTTGTAGTTCATTCTCTAACACTTGAAACGAGGAACAAAAACATATATTTAGAACATCAGACCAAAGGTAAAAAATAAAGATATATTCACAATTTAGATACATATAAACAAAATTCCATTTTTCTTTGGTTTTCACATTGTAAATGTTTTTAATTAGTGGAATTATACTCATAAGCTACTATTACTTAGATTTAGACAGTTTTCAATAAAAATATATTGCTTTCTGTCCAATTTGACACATCCAAGAGAGCAAGACGGCTAAGAAATAAAACTAACATTCTGCCCATTGAAAATTACGGAAGAGGATTAGGGTCACTGGAAAAAAAAAAAAAGTTAATTGATTTTTAAATTTTGTTTCAGTATAATATGAGAAAAGTCAGAATTCTGACAGCTAACAAACATGTTAGCATCAAGCCATAGCTGTGTCTGTTTTAGAGATTAGCTCTTTTGTTTTAATCACCCTCTTCTCTTCCATTAATGAAATAGCATCACTAGAGACCCCTCAAGCACATAAAAAGTTGCCTAATTGCGTTATTTTCCACCAATGTGTCACTGGCGCTCCCAAACAACTGCCATCTTAGTCAGTGAAGCTGAGTGCTCCCACATCTCTTTGTTCATGATACCCATCTACATTAAGATCCANATTTTTCTTTTTTGTTTGTTTGGATAGTTTTTTCCATTATAAGTAAAATAAAATTGTATTAATTGTAGTAATTATTTACCCAGGTTATCTAAATCTGATGTTTAATTTACTTTCCTGGTCTAATTGGTTTAAAAAAAAAAAAAGAAGAAAAAAGAAGCAGAAATTGGCAAATAGTTTTAAGAGACAAAGTTTTCAAAGCCCTGTAAACATAAAGTTTCTTTTTTCCATTCTTTGCTTTTTTTGCTGCTAGATCTTACTGCTTTAACTCTCAGGCTCTAGGCTACAGTTTCCATTTTACTTTATATTCTCTTAAAGGTAGTAGCTGACAGAAATCTCTCTGACCCTCAAGCTTCAAGAGTGAAGGTATAATCTGTTGACATGTAGACATGTGACAGGAAAGACTGAGAAAGCATGTCCTGGGGCAAGTCTTTGTCAGCTCTCCTTTACTGGCTCCTATGCTTTGCTTTGTTTTTCCCACAGACAGTTGTCAGATTATTTCGATTTGTTCATCCAGAGGTTCATTGCCTTGCAAGCAGTTAAAGGTAACGAGGTTGATGATATGGCCTTTTTAATTTTCTTTTCCAATGATCTAATTTCAGTGAAAAGAGACAAGGTGTTTATGAAGTTTCCAGTTGTGTAAAGGTGCCATGATTAGATTTCCCAGAAACAGCAGTTAAATTTTCACAATAATTTTCTTGTGATTAAGTAGGAGAAATATTGTCCCTGGGTGCGCCTGGTACCTAAGCCAAACCGCAGCTCATTCACTTTATATCAAACCGCCATCACTGTGGTGTCTGGAAGGAAAGGAACATGAGTGTACTGGATGTAAGTAAAAAAAAAAAAAAAAAAAGGATTAACGACAGCAACAATTATCACGTGTGATGACTTCAGCAGCTGCGAAGGCACAGCTCATTGTTCATTATCTACACTAATTCATCTGATGTTGGGAAAGGGCCAACCGCCTCGGTGTCTCCAGCACTCTGTGAGGAGTTTCTCATGGCAGGACTGCCGGGCTGAGAGTGCTGATCAGCAGTCACACCCTGATAAGACGCTGAGGCCAAAGCCAGGAAGCCCATCTCCTCCCTGGAAACAAGGACTCCCCCCACCCACTCAGAACACCCTTAGTAACAATGAGATAATTACTAAGAACAGTACGGACACCAGAAGCCAAGTCAGGGATGTAATTATATTCCTTTTTAGATATTAATTTGAAACACCCAAATGTAGCTCATACACAGAAACTAAAATAACTTTTTGGATGTGCACACACCTTGAGGGTCGATCTTTGATCTCTAAGACCATTGAGGATGCTACTGCCGCTGCCCAGGAGGTCATCCATGCCTCGGTGTGCGTTCTGCAAACTGCTGTTAAATTGCACGTTCTCATCTATGTGGATGGCGGTATCTGCATCCTGTGGAACCATAAAAATATCTTATTACCGTACAATAAAGATTGTCACTACAAAAAAAAAAAAAAAAAAAAAAAGCTGTCTTGCAAAAGTCTTTATAGTCCTACAGTTAGAGCCACACATTCATGTACAACACTAGTGTTTTATGTACCAGACCAACCTAAAGTAGTAGATCATAGTAACTGAAAATAACATTTTCTTTTTAAACTGTTTTAGAAAAATATAGTCTAGTGATACTGTAGTATAAAAACTGATATTTTGTAAAGGAGTCAGAAGTTTGTTAGAGAACATAAGGAAAAAGTGGCAATAAGAAAGCTAAAACAAGTTCACCATACACTTTTAGTAGGGATGTCCCAATCCGATATTACATTGGTCTGATATTACCCAAAAAACTAATATTGGATTTTATCAGCCAGCATTTAAAATCAATAGAAAAAAAGTTTCTGTTAAAAGTTTCTGAAACCTATTGGTTAAATTTATATGGGTCAGTTGTATTCATACCTTTGCTGTTGCCTTTTGTTACCTTTTTAGCTATATTACTTGATTAAGCCTTTTCTAACATTCTACAGTATAAAATGAGTAATAACAGCTGTTAAAATACGTGCTGATATCTTATCTGGTCAATATCGGTATCGTATCGAAAATGAAAAGGTTGCATCAGGACATCCCTAAATTTTAAGAGCTAAGAGGTGAAAACTTTTGAAGCTTTTCAAAGCTTAGTGCCATTGCAAATTCTTGTAAAAAACTTCAGTAGGGAATTTCTACAAAATATGGATTTCATGATCAAGGTGGCTCTTGATTAACCAGTTTGCACCATAGCCTGAATTTAGGCACATTTAGCTCACATTTGTGGTGAAGCTGCGACTGAGGAGTTCCTCCCTCTCTCTCTCCTGGGCTTCTCTGGTGTAGCGTCTGTGCTGGAAGTTTTGGAGAGCAGTTCGCAGATGCTGAACATCATACTTCAGCTGATCCACTCGCCTGATGGAAAAGAAAAATCTGTTTTAATGGTTATAAACTATACAGTCGATTATAAAAAGGACCTCTATAAGTTTTCATCACAATTATTCAAATTTAACTTTTTCAAATTAATGTTTCTACATTAGATTAAATGAAAATGATTGTGTTAATTCTCTTAACATTCAGGTATTTATATAGTTTCTTGATTAAAGGGATTTTTTTCTGAGCTCAAATCTCTAGTCTTTCCCAGGCCCTCCGTTTCATGTCACGTTGGTCTTCCTACAGGCCTTCTAGGATCTGAGGAAAGCTTAGCTATGGGGTGATCTTTGTCCCCTTAGGCCTGTTTATCCAAGTCAGAGATGAATCTTTGCCCGATGCAGCAGGAATGCTGGTGATGACGAGGCTTCAGAGGAAATGTTTTTGTAGAGCCATGTTGCCACAGGGCAGGACAGAGCTGTTTTGTCTTGTGCACCCACCCTGTGACTTTATGAGATATAGCTTACGATTCCAGATCTAAGCCTTCTAACAGTTAAATGAATTCACACTCACGTTTTGGCGTTCTGGCGGCGGTTGGGCGGTTCTTTACTGGCCAGAATCTCAAGGCGTTCTAAATGGTTGAAGATCTGGTCGATTCTAGCTTGTAGTTCATTCTCTAACACTTGAAACGAGGAACAAAAACATATATTTAGAACATCAGACCAAAGGTAAAAAATAAAGATATATTCACAATTTAGATACATATAAACAAAATTCCATTTTTCTTTGGTTTTCACATTGTAAATGTTTTTAATTAGTGGAATTATACTCATAAGCTACTATTACTTAGATTTAGACAGTTTTCAATAAAAATATATTGCTTTCTGTCCAATTTGACACATCCAAGAGAGCAAGACGGCTAAGAAATAAAACTAACATTCTGCCCATTGAAAATTACGGAAGAGGATTAGGGTCACTGGAAAAAAAAAAAAAGTTAATTGATTTTTAAATTTTGTTTCAGTATAATATGAGAAAAGTCAGAATTCTGACAGCTAACAAACATGTTAGCATCAAGCCATAGCTGTGTCTGTTTTAGAGATTAGCTCTTTTGTTTTAATCACCCTCTTCTCTTCCATTAATGAAATAGCATCACTAGAGACCCCTCAAGCACATAAAAAGTTGCCTAATTGCGTTATTTTCCACCAATGTGTCACTGGCGCTCCCAAACAACTGCCATCTTAGTCAGTGAAGCTGAGTGCTCCCACATCTCTTTGTTCATGATACCCATCTACATTAAGATCCACAATTCTGAGATTAAAGTCAGAATTCGGAGGAAAAAAGTCAGAATTCTAAGATTGAAATCATAATTCTAAGATTAAAGTCAGAATTCTGACTTTTTCCCATATTAAACTGAGATAAAATTAAAAAATCTGTCTACTTTTTCATTTTTTCAGTGTCCCTAATCCTTTTCCATAGAATATAGTGTTTTCTTTGTGTTAAAAGAATTTTTCATTTAGAAAATGGACTACATTTCACCATTTGTGATGAAAAAAATGCAATATTCACACAAATCACACTTGAGCTGGATTTGAGATTCATTCAATTTTTATTCTATAAATACATAAAGAAGAATTTTTAGAATTTGTGGGAATTTGAACATTTTTAATTGGATAAGCCTGTAAAACAGATAGATACAGCTCAGGTGGACATCAACATTTTACAAACATTGCAGGTGTTTCAAAATACAATTTGTTATGTAATGTGTGTAAAATGTGTAAGACAAATCTTATTTGTTAATGGTTTTTAAAAGGCTGTATAGTAAAAATCGGAATTGTCTTATGATTTTACTAAGATTCTCTTTTTTTTGTAAAAATATAAAGTGATGTCATAGTTTTTGTTGGGACTATGGTGGTGGAAAGACTGGCTCCCACCCTACTGCTTCCTATCCAGACCCAGAGCTAATGTGACAGACACCATTCACAGAGAACGGAGCCAGAGAGGCATCAGCCCGTCCTCTGACTGCATATCCGAAGCCACAACAAGGAAACCGTTTTAACATTTACGGGAAGTGTGGATGATGGGATGGCAGCAACACAGTGGAACGGCATTATAACTGTTCATTAACCTTCATCTTTATCCTACTCACAGTGAACAGAATCACGGTCTGTCCTCTCCAGCTGTCCCATCTGAGACTGCACCTCATGGATTTGCCTATTCCATTATAAAAAAAAAAACAAGGTATAATTGAACAGGAATAAAAAAAAAAAAAACACAATAGCAACGATCATATTAATATTTTGTATTTATTATGTGCTCATATGTAAAAGAAATTATCACAGCTATTATTAGTATGTTTTTTAGTCCAACTTTATTTTGAACAGTTAATTAGCTTGCATTGCTAGCTGTTTTAAGCTAAGTTAGCTAACTAAGTAGTTACACTTTTAACGGAAGCAGACGTCACACTCACTTGTTTGTCTGGTGATAAAGCGTCTCCATGTTTATGGATTCGCTGAAACGCTTTTCGTCCTCCCCCTCTCTCTCTTAATCCTCTTTATATTTCCCCTCTTTTACTCTGACAGCTATCTAAGCTAACCCGCTAGCAGCACAGCAATGTGTACACGTCATCAGCTGAGCTTTGTGTACGGAATTGAAAAAGCGGAAACGGAGAGGAAGATAGGGAAAAAAGGAAGACGGCTCACTCCAACTTAAATTTATTCTCATGTGCATCACGAGTCACAGTCATTTTTAAGCTTTAACAAGATTATAGGTCTATTTACTACGGAAGGGAATTTGAGCAACTGAAAAAATAAAATGAAGTTGACGGATTTTTAAATTTTATTTCAGTTTAATATGGGATAAAAGTCAGAATTCTGACTTTACTATCAGAATTCTGACTTTTTTCTCAGAATTCTGTCTTTAATCTCAGAATTCTGAATTTTTTCCCCATATTAAACTAAAAATAAAATTAAAAAATCAGTCAACTTTTTTTAATCTTTTCAGTGGCCCTAATCCTCTTCCGTAATTTACAGCTTTTTATGGATGACGACACATCTTTTGTTTATTAACTATATTTCATGATGGCGTTTTTTTGGACATTATGCATTTTTATATTAAAGTGTATAGTGAAATATATGTGATAGGGACTTAAATCGTATGAAACTAAATATCCATGAGAAAAATACAATCTCTTTTTTTATAAAAGTTGAAATATATTTTTGCCATGCATCTATCATGTACATTAGTTGTCTTATATTAAAGTTGAAACATTTTGATTGATTGATTGACTTTCTTGATCTCACAGTATTTATTGTATTTTATTTGCTTCCCATTTCTTATCATATTTTCAAATGAAATTAATCACTGTGCAAAGTCATGTCTGCTTTCTTTTTTCTTTTTTTTTGGTAGAAATAATAATGGTGTTTATTGTCCAACAAATATTTTAGTAAAGTCAGGGCAACACTGAGCAGGTAAAAGCATTTTTTCACTTCGCTGCCTAAAGAAGGTATTTGCCTTTTATGTTTTATTACACCCTAATAAAAACAATCTAAACAACAAAAAAGGAAAAAAAAGTATTGATAAATCAGTGTTGAATGAATCAACTGTGATCAATCAAGCTTTTAAAAAAACTGAGCTCAATTTCCCTATCCACACCCAGGCCTGATAAAGGCCAGATCTTTGGAATCTACATCATATTCCTTGAATATAGTTTGCAAATAATTATTACATGGAGTAAGCTGAAATATATTTTGAAAACGGCATCATGCTGCACTCTAAAGAAACTAAACAAATTGGAAAGAACAAAAGGCACAATATCAGTGAACTTGGAGATGGTTATAAACCCAATTTAATTTCATTACTTGTTGTTGTAAATGCTTTATAATAGTTGTTGGCATCAGGTGACACAAAACCACTTATTTTGTTTAGTAATCAAATGCATTTTTCTTTTTTGTTTGTTTGGATAGTTTTTTCCATTATAAGTAAAATAAAATTGTATTAATTGTAGTAATTATTTACCCAGGTTATCTAAATCTGATGTTTAATTTACTTTCCTGGTCTAATTGGTTTAAAAAAAAAAAAAGAAGAAAAAAGAAGCAGAAATTGGCAAATAGTTTTAAGAGACAAAGTTTTCAAAGCCCTGTAAACATAAAGTTTCTTTTTTCCATTCTTTGCTTTTTTTGCTGCTAGATCTTACTGCTTTAACTCTCAGGCTCTAGGCTACAGTTTCCATTTTACTTTATATTCTCTTAAAGGTAGTAGCTGACAGAAATCTCTCTGACCCTCAAGCTTCAAGAGTGAAGGTATAATCTGTTGACATGTAGACATGTGACAGGAAAGACTGAGAAAGCATGTCCTGGGGCAAGTCTTTGTCAGCTCTCCTTTACTGGCTCCTATGCTTTGCTTTGTTTTTCCCACAGACAGTTGTCAGATTATTTCGATTTGTTCATCCAGAGGTTCATTGCCTTGCAAGCAGTTAAAGGTAACGAGGTTGATGATATGGCCTTTTTAATTTTCTTTTCCAATGATCTAATTTCAGTGAAAAGAGACAAGGTGTTTATGAAGTTTCCAGTTGTGTAAAGGTGCCATGATTAGATTTCCCAGAAACAGCAGTTAAATTTTCACAATAATTTTCTTGTGATTAAGTAGGAGAAATATTGTCCCTGGGTGCGCCTGGTACCTAAGCCAAACCGCAGCTCATTCACTTTATATCAAACCGCCATCACTGTGGTGTCTGGAAGGAAAGGAACATGAGTGTACTGGATGTAAGTAAAAAAAGAAAAAAAAAAAAGAAAAGTATTTTAAGTTAATTATCTTCACGAGCTGTCACATGAATTCCTGTTTACTACCGGTAGCTGTATTTGTTTTCGTCATTCAGCACAGCAATCACAGCTCACCTCAGACAGTTTTTTTTTGGCGATAACCTGACCGTACATGAGTTGTGTCTTCAGGCGACACCCTTCTCCAGAGAGGTCCCTCTCACCCTACCTCTCATGTCTGAAACCCTGAAATCTGTTCATGCCACTTCTTGCTCCTGCTGTTCACCATTTCTGGTTGTCATAACATCTCCCCGGGGCAGTGGTTGGATGTGCACAGCTTTGAACCACTGCTCAGAGTAAGAAAAAGAGGGAGGAAGAAGGCCCCCTTTGTTAAACTCCTATCAGAGACCACGCTGTGGCATTTAGGTCGTGGGCTTCTCTCTGTCTGTCCTTCACCTTTCAGCCCTGAGGAAAGGATGAGATGAGCTTACTGGTTTTGCTCCACACCTGATCACCACAGGCGCAAGCTGGATTCCAGACACCAGGTGTGGATATGGATCAGGACAAACCAAGATGTCCCCATTTTTTTCCAAACATTTGATACAAAAATATCAATGTGAAACCTTAAAGAAATAGTTCTCAAAAGAAGATTGTGCAGGAGCCGACCCTAACACTTAAATGTGTCTGGATCATCAAGGAATGCGCCTTCTGAGTGCCAGACTACTGGCCTTTAGGCATCTTTCAGGAACCAAACAAAATTTGTGCTGGATCAGTCCCCTTGAACCTGGTTACACAACTGGAGCAACAGGATCATTATTAGTTTGAAGAAGAGAGCCCTCAGTGTTCTGGAGACTACAAAGAGTACAGCCCTCAATAACGCTGTTTTGTTCACTCAGAGAAAATGATATGTTATTGAATCACTTCTTCACAATCTACTTAATGATGTTTTCCAGGCAGAATAATGCGTCATAACTCTGCAGTGATTGCCCATGACAGACAGAATGAAGAAGAAGCCAATTATGAGGAACTGAATTGCCTTAGGTCAAAAATTTTTGGATACCAGTCATTTTTTTGAGGAAGGGTTGATCTCCTCTCTCCAACCCTGAGGGAGATGAGCCACCCGGCTTTGAAGCTGTGATGAGATGCTGAATGAAAGCAAATGAGAGCCTGTCAGATTTGACAGGAGAAACTCATAAGCCCCCGACGTCTTAGTTTTGTTGTGCTGGGAATAAGGTCAGAAGGGATGCCAGCACCCCTAAATCGCCCGCCCAGGAATCTGACTGACCACCCCTGATGCTGCCGCACCAGGTCAGATGTTCAAAGATAGCTGTATTCACATTGATAATCACTGTGACCAGATTTGCCGGTAGATGAAGAAGCAAAGTGATCAGTAGGCCAGCATTAGCAGATAGCCTCACATTATTATTAACCCTGAGTTCAGGAGTCTAAGGGCCATACTCTCATTTGAGCCCATCTTTTCCACTGCGGGACACCATTTCTCCTCTCGCTGGTTGAGTTTGCAAAGTATTCCGAAAAGCTATTTCGTTCCAAGACCTCACTCGGTCTAAAGGGGTCATTTTAAGGGTTGGAGGGCACTTCCCCCTAGCTCATATAACTATTGGGAAACACTACCCTTACATATGAACGCGCAAAACCGAATGCTAGGGCCCAAACCGAGTGCAAAGGAGAAAAATGGGACTGGCCCTAAATCTAGAGTGCTGCAACTTGCAGCAGACTGAACGTACATGAGTTTAATATTCATGTCACACACTTCTCAGGAGAGGTCCCTTTCACTCTACCTCTCATGTCTGAAGCTCTATTATATCCCAATGAGGTAATTCAGATGTTTGAAACAGATAATTTAAGCTATAGGGAATATCTTATTGGAATGCACAGGAGAAAGAGACCTCTGCTTTGATAAATATCTCTTCTACTCGATCATACTTTATGTCACATTTTCTGTTTATTGTGTCCTTGGATTCATCCTAATGCATACAAAATAGTTTCATTTGTCATTTTTTACTCCAAAACAAGATGCATCAATTATTTACTGCAAGAGTGATTTTACTACAGCACTTGAAAATACCATAGATATCAAACAAACAGAAAATGAAGGTTTCAGGTGGTGCAGCATGTAGAAATGTTGCCTTGCTGCAAAAAGGTCCTGGGTTTGAAACCTAGACTAAGATCGTTCTGCATAAGGTTCGCATGTTCTCCCTTTGCAGGCCTGGCTTCTCTCCAGGTACTCCAGCTTCCTCCAACTGTCCAAAAGCATGACTGTTAGGTTGATTTAATCCCCCCTCTTTTGGCTTATAGACTCTTGGTGATTGCCACTGGGCCCCATTGACCAAAACAGACAAGCAATAGAAAATGTAAGGAAATGTAGACAACAGTGCCATTGAAAGCTGGAACTACATCCAAAATGTCTGAATAGACAATACAGAAACTACTTTACAAACTTTAAAATATATTAATAAAAAAACAACCCTTCATATTACTAAAACATCACCATGTTGGGATGGGCATCATTGATACACTTTTTTTTCTCCTCTAATTAGAACTTAATTCTCTTAATTCGAAAAAAGTAAAAAAAACAATGCACTTCCCATCCAGGAAGCTTTTTCAAATTAAAGTGTCAGAAACAGCGTTGAGTTTGAGGCTATGTAGAGTGGCTTTGTTTTTTGGTCCACTCTATAAAGCCTTGAACTCAACGCTATTTCTGACTTTTTGAATATGAAAAAGCTTCCTGGATGGGAAGTGAAACGTCTTCAAACTCGGAAAGAAAGTCCAGTGGATTTTTTTTTTTTTTACTTTTTTGTAATGACTATGACCTGGATGACTGAGAATCTTCACCAGCATAGAACTTAATGTATGTGG